CCCCAAAACCCCAAAACCCCATCAAGATGGATTTGCACAAAATAACTTATCATTATAAATTATAGCTATAAATATATAAAGTTTTAATATATAATCTGAACATTCTCCTTGGAATATGGAATCAACTGATAAACTATTCCCTTTGACATCTAATCAATAAAGAGAGTAGTATGACGAAAATGTGCATGGCATAAGACTATTGAATTACAACACATCTAAAGTGATAAATTAACACAAAAATCCACTTATTAAAAATAAGGGTCATCACATAAACAGGAGGCAGAGAAAGCTTGTAAGTATAATAATTCTTCTGACTTTATCCGAATGAGAATTGCTGAGATATGCTATTAATTTGACACAAATTATATACTTGGAATGGAGAATAGCATTAAACTGATGATTATAAATGCCTAACTATTCTATAGAGTAGCGTTCACAAGGCGATTATAGAACAAAATAACTCTTTTAATAAAAACAACAGCATGACAAAAAAGCTTTCTAAAGAATTAAAATAAGGCTCAAGTGTAAGTAACTTATTTAATTAAATAATTCGAATATCAATGAACTCCGAATTCTTACTGCTTAAATTAAAGCTAACCTCAATTCTATTAGGTCAATATGGAAAAATCAAAAGATAACAGTGAAACTAATCAAGTGATTCACTAAACTCCACAAAAAGTGGTGATTTTCAACTAGTTTAAGAAATTCACTCAAAAAGAAGAGGATGAGAAGCTATACCAACCGAGAGCAGGCAATAATTAAGGATTAAGTGATTTGGAAAACAAAAAAGATAAAATTCCAAGGCCAAGTATTTTACAAATAATTTCGGACTAAAAGTCTCCTGAGTCCTCTATTACCCCTAAAATGGATAAATCTCATTCAGTGCCAATACTTGTTAAATAGGAGTTACAGGCCTGAAATGAAATCAAATATCAACAATAGCCATAAGAACAGTAAGATCCTATCTAAAAAAGAGATAATAAGCTAAAGTTGGCAAAGCAACAAGCTGGCAATCCATTTTTTGTACAAACAAACTTTAATCACAACAATGTAAATCTATCCAAGAGTCCTAATCCATTATAGCGTATAGGATCAATTGATCTTACTAGTAAATTATTTTATTTTATTAAATTTACTGCTTTTAGATTAAGTATCTTAAGTTAAGAAAAAGGGGAGGAGAAATTTAGCTTAAAGAGACAGAGAGGCTTCTTAAGCTATTACAAGTACAAATTAGCTTGCAAATCAAGCAAGACTTAAACTTCATCAGTAGTCTTCTGATACTAAATAAGATGCAATTTTGAATAAACAAAAGAAAGGGCAGGGAATCGCTAACCTGAATAGCAGTAGAGATTCTGGATAATAGTTAGATCGAGGATCAGATAGATCTATGGATTCAAGAAAATCTTGTCTCATGAATAATGAGCGCAAAAGTTCAAGAAAATAGCTCCTAGATGGTATTAGAGTCAGATTCGATGGTTAAGTAGGAGAGTATAGTGAAGTTGAGGAACAAGATAAACTAGAGAAAAATAAGCAAAAATATTAGGGTGGTGGAACTAAGCCAACACCCATATAAGATATTTAAATCCATATCACCTTCAAAAGAATGACTAAGACTTTAAACATAAAGGCATAAGATCCCTTACAGTAGTGGAGCTATAACAAGTATTTTTTCTCAGACCCTGATGAAAAATCAAAATATCTTACTGAAATTGAGTTTTGTAAGGCTCATTCAAAGTCGTTTAAGGGACAGTTTGGGTTTGAAAAGAAAAAATTGCAACTAATTTAGCTCTAACTTCTTAAAAATGGAAAGTAAGTTAAGTAACTATTTAAATTTGACAGGCAATAGCAGATGGGTATGGGAACAAAAGATATTAACTTAATGAAAAATGCCATTAAAAATTTCAATAGGAGTATGCTTTTTACCTTTAAAATATATTTTTATAGAGACTATCGTATTTGATCTTGAAAGAACTCTACTTTAAGTATTTTTCAAGGGTCAAATGAATGATTATGATGAATTCACTTATGTAAATATCTTTGGAAACAGCAAAGTTAAGGTATATTAGAGATATCATCAACTAATCTATATAGCTGTTCCTTAATTATCGTCCATTTTTAAGAGAAATGCTAATGGACTTGAAGCAAGACTTTGAAGTAATATTATTTGGCTCAAACTATCAATACTTCGATAAGATAGTTGAGACTTTGACAAAGGACGGTGAATAACTATTTGATTATGTGATTAAAAAGGACATGTTGTTCTATACAAAGAATATTGATTACTATATTCTAGACTTGAATATTTTAACAGGTTCCAGAGAGCTTAAGGATATTATCGTTGTATCATACACTTGTGGTAGAAATTTATTGCACTACTCGAATGGCGTACCTGTGAAAGAATATCAAGGAAACAAAAAAGACCTCTCATTGTATTCACTAACTAAGTACTTGAGAAGCTTCAAAGATGAAAAAGATGTGAGAACTAAAATTTGTAGTGATTTTGGAATATGAACTTGATTTTTAATTATGTAATAGAGAGTCTAGATCTCTCATTCGTGATAATTTATAAAGTTTTGCAAAATTAATTAATCGAAATTGATCTTCAAGATTAGCATGAAGGGGTTTTGGGGTTTTGGGGTTTTGGGG